AAACACTAGTCAGTTACTTTGTTAGACTGTTCTTCAATTTGGATATGTCTGATGCCTTCTCATGATTAGATTAAGGTGATGCATTTCTGATAGAGATTCCATGGAATAATAATTTTTACTGTATCACATCAGAAAGAGCACCATACCAATATGTTTGATTAATGGTGATATTATTAGCTCTGATCACATGGTTAGGTGGTGTTTGCCAGATTTCTCCACTGGAAAGTTATTACTGTTGTCAGAGTTAATAAATATCTTGTAGGGGGGTTATTTTGAGGCTACGCAAACATCTTTTGTCTCATCACACTAATTTTAACTACTAATTTTAACATCCACTGAAGCTTCTTGTCAGCATTCATTATTACTTTGTTGCATTTCTTCTATATTTATTAATTGTATTTTTACCAACAATACGTTTAGCTGATCTTTTTTCATCACACACTTTGTTATCTTCAGTGTAAAAATGATCAGTTTTATTGGCCAGAAAAACTGGTTTTCTACTGTTGCTTTCTATCTGGTTTTTTTAAAATAATAAAAGACACAATCCAGCAGTTCATAAGTATCTTTATTTAATAGTTTTGCTGGACTTAACAAAACTTCTTAAAGATAAAGTCGCCTTTAAATGGATGACAGATTTTAAGGATACTAAACTGTTCACACTGCTGACTTTGTATATTCAAAGTTTCCATCTTATCCCAGCCATGATATTTTTAAGCTGCAGAATACAAAGAAATTTAGCTCACCAAATACTTGCACTGGCTTTCAAAATGTTTATGGCGGCCTCTGCAGCTCTATGTTTCGCCAGCTTCTTACTTGTACCTTCACCTGAAATTGAGGTTAAAAAAATTATCTTTATAAAAAATCTTTATGTCCATAGGTATTTTATTAATACAAAACAAAGTCACACAACAACAACAAAGTCACTACAGATTTTATGTACAGGCAGTCTGTGGGTTCCATACTAGATCCCAATGTACAGACCCACTGGAAGTGTATGTAGGGTGTGGCAGGTAGGGAATTTTGCCTTGGGCACAGCTTGAATTCCCACATACCACCACTCTCCCCAGCTCAACAGTTTCTGTTGAGTCAGTATGGCCCAATGTCCTCCTCCCTCAAGCATTGTTGTTGCTGTTGTTGTTGTTGTTGTTGTTAGGTGTCATCAAGTCTGTACTGACTCATAGTGACCTTATGCACAGCAGAACGAAGCACTGCCTGATCCTGGGCCCTCAAGCATAGTAGACATCAATGAATATAAAAGTCAAAACAGCAGTGTGACACAACTGAATGTGGAACCTAAGTTTTTGGAAGAATGTTTGGACAGGCTACCATTTCACTGCTTGCCATGGGTGCTAGATAGGCCACTGAGGTCAGCACAGGTGCATATGGTTACTATTTGGTTGGCCCAGGAC